GCGGATATTACACTTTCGTTGGGTTACTTAAGACTCCGACCACCAAACCATAATATTAGCACATAAATTGTGACTGTGAATTGTTGGTGAAAATCTTGGACCAAAATCTTTCAATAAAAACAAATAATAATTTTGGGCGGTACGAAGTACGCCGGGTGTGCTAGTATGACTTATGACCCCAAAGGTATGATCCTCTCTATGGGAGATGCCACAAACCCATTTTATACACCTTAACATAGATTCAGTTGCAATGACTTAGGGCAGTTATACTGCTTATCGCTGTAGTGTAGTGGTTAGAAGTGCGCACTAACATTCTGCAGGTCCTGGGATCGAGTCCAAACGAAAGAAAAGGAAACATTTTTCTAACAGCCATTAAACAGCTTCTCATAAAAATACAATCGCCGTTCGGTGTCGGCGTGAAACTGTAAGTGTCTCCCCCTTGTGGGACAACATCAAGGCGTACGCCACAAAGCGGAGGTGAAGCTCTACCAAATGCGCCAATCAATTATTGTTTTTATTATTATTATTATTCACATTTATGAATCATAAATTACCATTGATATAGCAAATTAATGGCATGAAATACAAGGAATCTTCCAGCTTAAACTATTTACCAAAATTTACATTGAATTCAATATAACAAATGCCTCTTGCTCGATCGATATTTTTCGCAACAAATTACAGCAAATCAACAAATTTAAATCGTCTAAAAATCTTGATAGAGAATAAAACCAAAACAAATCAATGTGACATTCGCTCATGGCAATCAAAGTGAAATCTAAACAAATCAATGAGGAGCGTAAATTAAGCAACGAGCCCACTCGTTTCGCAATAAAACGCTTCGAACCATTTACGATGCTGAATGGGAATAAACAAATCGAATGTATGCACGTATGTATGTAGTATATTAACATATGTATGCAAGTAGCTTAAGAAATAGAGAACGAAAATTTGGTACAGAGGTTTGCAGCGCTGTCTGAGTGGATACTAAGGTGAACGATTATTTGAAAGTTGTATAAAATGATCTTAAAGTTAAAAGTGATTTGCGTGAAATTATAAAAGTAACGCTATTTTTTTTCAAATAAATTAAAATTATTTAGAAAATCATATTCTAAATTTAGTGAAATTCTGAATTGGCAAAAAACGTTTAAAATCTCCAGCCAGGGAAAACTGAGAAATTACATTTTTCGACTAAAACGTATTTTTGATGTACCCTATCTTAGAAAATGCACTATCTTTAGTTTTGTATCAATTACAAGAATGCGAAATTGCATTTAAATAGAAACTTAAAAAAAATATATACATATATTAAAAACAAGTAAAAAAGTCTAAGTTCGGGCGGAGCCGAGCATTAAATACACGGCGCAAGTATTAAATATATGTTTTTTCACCTTTCCGAAACCTACCGCTAGATGGTAAGCCGGGGTGTATCCATTTTGAGTAAATTAGCGTCCTTAAATTTCGAAATATTGAAGTTTCAAGCATTTCTGAAATTTACCGTTATATGAAAAGCGGCCGTAATTTTAGTCCGATTTCAATAATTTTCAACGTTTTGCTTACACGTGGCAAGTACAATAACCATACCGAGTTTGGTACAAATTGGTAGAACGGTTACCGATATACTTATATGTGATCATAAGTGGGCGGTGCCACGCCCATTTTCCAAAATTTTACCATAAACGTATTTCTTGGTAAAGAATTGTTGCAAGCATCAACTTTGAATAAATTAGCTTCAATATTTACTGATTTATCGAAGATTTTGTATTTCTCCAAATTACCGTTATATGGGATGTGGGCGTGGTTATCGTCCGATTTTAAAAATTTTCGGCGATTTTTATGCTGTACCAAGGCCAACAACTGTGCCAAGTTTGGAAGAAATTAGTGCAGCGGTTACCGAGATATACACATGTAACCATAAGTGGGCGTGGCTCCGCCCATTTTCCAAAAATTTATAACACTCTTAGTTGTCGTCTAAAAATTGTTGTAAATATTAATTTTGAGTGAATAATCTTCAGTAGTTACTAAAATATGGCAGTTTTCGTATTTCCAAAAATTACCGTTATATGGGATGTAGGCGTGGTTATTGTCCGATTTTTTTAAATTTTCGGCCGTTTAGTATGCTGTATCAAAGCCAACAACTGTGCCAAGTTTGGAAGAAATTGGTGCAGCGGTTACCAAGCTATACACATATAACCATAAGTGGGCGTGGCTACGCCCATTTTCCAAAAATTTATAATATTCTTATTTTTCGTCTAAAACTTATTATAAATATCAATTTTGAGTGAATTATCTTCATTAGTTACTAAAATATCGCAGTTTTCGTATTTCTGGAAATTACCGTTATTTGGGAAGTGGGCGTGGTTAAAGTCCTTACCTTGGATTAAGGTAAACCTACATACCAAATTTCGTTGAGATATCTCAATTTTTGCTCGAGTTATCATGTACACGGACGGACGGACAGACGGACAGACGGACAGACGGACAGACGGACAGACGGACGGACAGACAGACATGGCTTAATCGATTTCTTTTTTCATCCTGATCATTTATGTATACATTTGTCTATATCTATCTCGATTCGTTTTGGCTGTTACAAACAACCGTTATGTGAACAAAATTAATATACCCTTGTGCACAAGTGCGCTCGGGTATAAAAAATACCAACTCACGCTCAGTTGCGTATGTAACGTATACGCCCCGCAGCACCATACGCCGTCCTTTACTTAAAAGTCGTATTATTTAAAAGTAATTAAATTTGGCGTGGAACATTTTTACACAGTATTCCGTATGCACATATATGTGTATCGTGCATTCCATGTCAACCGGGCCGCCTAAATATCTCAAAAACGGGAATTCTCAGTTTTACCAAACTTTGCACAGATTATCTTTGACATGTGTACTTTCTCATCGAATTTTTTCAGAATTACTGACACGGTTTCCATATAAAAAAAAAATGTCAACCATACTGCGAAAACTGAGTAGCTTTTTTAGCAACTTGAAACTTGCACTTTGTTATACTAAAATTTTATGGGCTACAAAATTGCATACTCGATATTATTCTAGAAAATCTAGTCAACAAGTTGCAAATTTGTACTTTTCTGGAAATATTTTGGTCCGCAATTTTGAAAGGAAACAAGTAACTCTGAAAAAAAAAATTTAGATGAAAGTACACATGACAATGTTTTATTTCTTAAATTATATAAGAAGATATATTAGAATTATATTAAATTCAATAATAACAAAATGGCTGGGACAGACATTCTGTTAAAAAATACTCTCTATTAAAGAAAAAATGCATAAGAAAATCACCTGGTTACTGAGATATTAGCGTTAAAGTTTTTGATGTGTGATAACTTTCTTGTTTTTGTCGTATAGAAAAAAGTAGTAGTTGTGGTATTGACAAAAATTTACTATTGCGAAAAAATTCGTTTCACCCTAATTTAACTGTAATAAAGACTTTCGATCAAAACTCGTGTTTCCTATGTTTTTTTTGAGTTACGATTTTTTTGGAAAAATAGAGGAGATCACATTCCTATTCAGTGGCCCACATTAGGTATAAAAAAAACTTCTATAAAAATATATTTCAATGTGAATACATCATGCACATTAGCGTGGTTCATTACGCTCTAAAAACAGTCTGTGCGATAGATGACAATTTTTGGTCATTATGGGTGCGTTCAGAAATGCATCAAACCAAAGCATCAGTCTCTTTTACTTCTATAATACAACTGATGGAAATGCCTTATTTACGCAATTACGTTCTAATTGGGCATTTAACCGTGGTTACGCATATTGGACATTTCCATCAATAATAGTTTAGAAATAAAAGCGTCAGATGCTTTGGCTTGATGCATTTCTGAACACACCCTATCTTAGGCTCACCCAAGTCCATCAAAGTTCAAGTGGTAAAAATTTCGATTCTCTACAAAAAAGGTTCATATACCAAATTATGTAGGACTAATACTTTCGAAGATAATTGCAATTTCAGGAAAAAAATGTATTAATTAACTTATTTATTAATTTTTATTTTTTGAGCACATGGAACTTTGATACTGACCAAAAATTTTCATCTTTCACACAGGTTGTTTTTAGAGCATAATGAAGCATATTTTTGCTATTAACAATCAAAATTCTTTGACCGATTTTTTTAAGGTCAAAGAGTGATTGTGGGCCAATGGCAGTATTTTTTCCGTGAAAGGGAATAAAATTAGCTTTCAAAAATATTTTTTTTCATATCAAAATGTTGCTTATGTCGAAAGTGCTACGATTAATTCGCATGGAGTATTGAAAAAGCTCACTGTGCGGCGTATACCAATTCACATATTTAAATCAAATTTTAAACTTCAAACTGCATTTAAAATGAAAGTTAAGAATTTTGGCAAAAAACAAATTACATTTTTGAATTCAGCGCCAAATTCACTAAATTATTTAAATTATAAATAATAAAATAAATAATATTTTGCCCACATTTTACATGGAAGGGAAGCACTGTGGTGCCGTCATGCGGTATATATACATCGCACGGTACTAAACAAAAATAATAGTCAACTATCCGCAGTTTTCCCAACAGAAAAAACCTCATTTACCTCGTTGACATACATACATAAATAGTATGTATGTATTGCCCATAGCGGCATTAAAATTACGTATACGCCCTGTTGCACACTAATAACGCAGACATCCACTTGCTCATCATTCGACATCAACTAAACAAAGCAGTGGGCGGCCGGAACGCGAAAATTTGTCATTAAGAACTGAATTATGATTAATAAATTTGAAAATAGCAACAGCATTTTATGTTAAAAGCACTGTACCATTAGTGGAACAGAGAGAGAAAATATTGCACGCCTATAAATTGGCGTAAAGATGTAACCAAAACAAATCAAGAGCAAACAACCCAAAAAAAAAAAAAAAAAATTCGGCAACGGTGAGGAAAATTTGCTACAATATAAACAAATTTGTATGGCAAAGCAAAAATACGCGTTTTCACGCTCACTCACCTTCGATTTTTGATGCATTTGCTGTTGGAGCTAACGCCGCCGTTGCCTCTGCTGTGGCGGCTGCTACAATTCTGCAATTGCCAACGCAGCTAACTCTGCTGCAGCGCTGCGTTAAACTTCTGCAGCTACTAACGCCTCGAAAGACGTTCCGATGACTGCGGCATGGAACAAACTCTGCCTCTGCCTCTGCCTCTGCCTCTTCCGCTGCTGTTGTTGCGTCCGCGTTGCTTGTCCTATTAATCGATGTTTTATTATTTATTCAATGCGTTTTTTCCCCTTGATTTATTGCATGTCTTGTTTTTGTAGTCGTTGGATTCTTCTTATTTTGATTTGTTTATTTTTTTGCTTTCATTGCCAGTTAACTATTTGGCCTGCATTTTAATTGCTTTTGCCCTTTTAATTGTTTTTAGCGGTTCCCTCTTAGATACACCGCTAACTTCCGCTAGTTGCTGGATGCTGCCTTTCTGCTGCTGACAACTCACAACAAAATGCCTCAACTTTCCTCTGTATTAGCCTGCGTTGTTTGCTTCGAAAGCGTGCTATAGTGCGGCTGGTTAGGTGGGTGGATGGTGTGCGGAGGTGATGGTGGTGGGGAGCAATCGCATCGAAAGAGTATATGCTAACGGGCAATTATGCGTGCGTGGGCGCGCCTCGTTTACTTTATTCTTCTTTTATCCGTTTCTTATTCTCCTTCTTAGCTTGTCATATTCATGCTTATTTGTTGCTACATATATGTATACGACTATTTTGTGTGCGGATGTGTGTGTTTTTTTTTTTGTTTTTTGTTTGTATGCCTATGAATTTTAATTAGGTACGTTCAGCGTATTTTCTCAGACATTTAATTGAATGCGTAGAGTGCGTTGTTTGGATTTTGATAGCTGTTATTATGGATATTACTTATTTATTTTGTTTTTATTTTGGTTGTAGTTGTTGTTGTTGCTGCTGCTGCTGCTGCTGCTGCTGCTTCTACCGCCACTGCTTTTTGCTTATTATACAATTCACTATTGTTTATAATAATTTTGCTGTTGTTTTCGTTTACTTACGCTCTGCTTTTTGTAGCTACGGCCCGTTTCAACACTTCGTAGCAATTAAATAGTCGTTTATTTGTCACTTTCTGCTGCTTTCGATAATTTTTATTGGCCACTTGTTTATGGTTTCGTAAGCATTCGATTGCCTGTTTTTTTTTCTCTATTCACTCGGTCTAGTTGCTTTTTGCTGCTTGAAGTTGGTTGTCTGATTTTCTACTTACCAATTAATTATACTTTTTTTTTTTGAAATTGGTTTACTTTTTGAAAATACACATAGCTATTTTAAAAGTTAGTTGAAATACTTTGCTGCTGATTTTTGCTTAGTTTAATAGTTTTAAATTTTACTTATATTATATATAGATATTTCCTTTTTTAAATTTTTGTTTTTGTAATGTAAAGAGGACGGTCGTTATTTCGAGTAAAATTACATTAGTCTAGGCTTAAAATGTACAATAAAAAGTTTAAAAATTAGACACGCTCTATTTCACTATACCCTGCGTCAATGCGCCCTTTCGCTAGCTTTTCGATTAAAAAATGTGTGTTTTTTTTTTTTAACCACCACAGTCGTCAAGATAAGTTCATTAAATTGTCATTTAACTTCGTACATGCATAATCTTAATACGCAGATATTTGTGAAATCAATTTTTTATTTAACTTTAAACGTTGTTGGCCATCGTCATGCGCGGCCTGATAGCTTTAGCTCATTTCTTTGTTATTGCAATTTTAGTAATTATTTTGTGTTATTAAATTTTCCTCTATTTGCGCGCACACATATTTTTAATTACTACTTTTAATTAATTGCATTGCACTGTGTTTTCATTCGAATTTTTATTTTGTTTAGTGGCTCGTAGAAATGAGTTTAGTTATTATCTTTGCATATGTAAGTACATATGTACATATATGCACATACACTTATGCACATACGCTAGTAAGCAATATATGATTTTCTATTTTTATTATTATAATTTTATTAATTAAAATTTTCAATTAATGCTCTTCATAATAAACTATATATATTTGTTTTCTGTTATTTTGCTTTAATTATTGCATATTTTGTGTTTTTTTTTTATATGTATGTATAGCGTTTAAGTTTTAAGTCACACCTAAATTTTCACAACCACACGACGTGAGAGTACTCGGGAAGGGGAGGATTTGGAGTACGAATAGTTGTTTTGGCTGTTGCGCTGTTGTTGTTGTTGTCGCTGCCGCTGTTACAGTTGCACTTATTTCTCTTTTATATTAAACGTTTTTGTTGCTACACGCATAATTGCTTGCTGTTTTTGTAGCGATAATTTTGTCAATATTTGATTGTTGGGGTATTTTTCATCATTGCAAATTGTTTCTCCACTCGCACACTAGTGTAAGTATACACTTTTCGTAGTCAAATTACGCATTCATAATTTTTTGATGTTTGATTTTTATTTTTATGAAATATTTTTATGTAAAACTTGATTGTGATGTAATTTTGCGTTAATTTTCGCTACAACCAAATTGATAATGCAATTTTTTATTGTCTTGAACACCGTACTACTTAAACATCTTTTAACTCTGTTCTTTCTGGAGAGTAGTTGCTCACAATTAATTACATTGTCTCCAATTCTAAGCGCTATGATATTACAATAAGGAGTTTAAGGTTTATATATCTTTTAAATACTTTTCACATTTATAGAGATATAATATAAAAATATATGTACCTCAGGGTTTAATGTCAAACATCACTTAAGTGCAATTCCCATTTCACTGTCACAATGATAAAAAAAACTTTTTTGTCTTTTGTTTTGATTGCGCTGTGCCACAACTTCAGCGTTTTTCACACTGGGTTAAAAACTACATTTTTCATGAAAAATCCAATCAGTTCACTGCTACTTTTGGCTTATCAAAAAAGTGATTTAAGACATAATTCCAATTTTTAGACGTTTAAAAATGTAAAGTGAACCAGTGGATCTAAAGGCTCTCAAAAAAAGTCAGCTAAAAAATTATTAAAAATCAACGTGATTTTCTAGCGTCTTCGAATTTTCACTGTAGACTTATAGAATTTAATGGGCTATAAAATTATATAGCTAAAATATTTTTAATAAAAATTTTTAAATTGTATGGGTTTAATTTTTAATGTTTTTTGAACTTCTATCATTTTGCACGAATTTCGGAGTGTGGTTAATGAAATGCTGGTTATGAAATGTGTCAAACTTGTTTAAAAAAAATAACAAACATTAAATAAACAAAATAAAAATATTCAGAATTGGACAAAATATCATGTAAATTAATCAGCTGGCCACAAGTGTTTATGTTTTTTAAGTTATTGAATATAAGAACTTATAAATAAAAAATAAAAAAAATAAAAATATATTTTTGTTTTATTTCCGAACCCAAAGTTGAGCCGACCAAATATTTCCATCGGTTCTTCGTCCCTGATTAGAATAATTCTCATGAGAGTAGCAATTCACTCTTATTGTAGCGAACCAGAATGTTTATCTGTATCAAAACATACTCAAATGGGCATATTATTTCAGCCTTAAAACTTGTTTTCACTATATCAAATTCAATAGCATTTGTCTTCAAATACATAAGTTAAAACATACATATTTTATTTAGGTCCTTTTTATTTTAGCAGAAAGAAGGCGCTTCTATCGTAGAAAAAATGTTAAAGGTTGATTTCTGTTCGTTTGCACAAAGTCCTTTATAGGTTCGAAGTGCAGTGTCGTGCTGCATTTCATTATTGCCAGGAGGTTAATTGATGTTTCTCATTCTCCGCTAAACAATCTCTTTTTCTTCCTTCCTAAGGTTAAGTAAAGGCACGCAAGATTCAAATGTAATTGCATTGAATAAGTGAAAACATATTTTCAAATAGACTTAATGAGCCTTGACATAGCAGTCTTTTCAGCCAGTCTGCGTAGACTTAGTTATAAGCAAAAATACACAAGTCTTTCCAGACCATTTTAAACGGGTTACTTAATTGTGTACATATACGGTATATGATGTGTTAGGTAGAGAATTTTCCATGCGTGTGTTTCACACCGAAGTCATAACGCATGGAAAGATTTAAATATCTCAAAGATTGCATTACTAAATATTTAGTAAAATTATGGCGTCTTCTACAAAGAATCCTCCATGTAGATACTTTTGGAAGTTTGAAGCAGACTTAGAGCCTGCTATAGTAGTTGGAAAAGTCCTTTCGAAACCGCTTTGTACCTAATCTAATGAACTTCGCTAACAGTATTGTTCTTGTTAACTTTTATTCAAATAATAGCATTTCTCCTCGTAACCTTATTTCACAACAAAAAAGCAACTTACACTTGGAGTGTGAAACGCAGATGCCAAATGTAGGAATAAGAAACACAAAAACTTTCGAGGGTAGTCTTGATTTTTACTGGATCCAACGTTACGAGTTACAACAACATTACCTTTTTTGTCTTTTTATCGTTTTTTTTTGTTGCTGCTACCATTTTTTACCAATTGTTTATGCTTCAAGTTTCATTGCTTACAAAAGAATTTCTAACTGTAGCAGTTTGTTTTTAGTGCATACATACGTAACTTCAAATATTTATATATACATACATACGTATGTATATACATACGCACATTCGTTTAGGTGTAGAATTTGTACTTGTACACAGCATCCCTAACCCGCATAAAAACTGTACTTTAGCGCGTTTGGAGAGCACACAAAGAATCGCGTATTAAAAGCCGAAGGCTAGGAAAGCAATCGATAAAATATACTGTGTATGCCAGTGTACTGCAGCAAGCTCTTTAGATTTCCAGCTATTTGAAAGCTTCTGGACTTGGTTTGAAACAAGCAAGTAAATGCTTGGCTTGTTTGCTGGATTTCAACTCATGTTCGTACTTGATTTATTTCGAATATATTGAACACACTATTTATTAGCAAAACAAAAACACACTAACACATAAGAATACCCTTTGGTTATAACAAGCTAACTCACGGTTTGCATATGTACCCTACAGTAAATGAGACTAGATTGTGGCTAACTATTAGCTAACTAGCAGTCGACGAGCGGTGACTATTTAATAACTATTTCCTGTGACCGTAACTAACTACTTTTAAAGGCCGATGGTCGCAAAATAGTGAGAACTAGTTTCCTTTGCATTAGATGTCAACTAACTTGAATTCGATCAGAAATAAATGATAATATAAAATTTCGACCTTTATTTTATTTGTCCTGAATGCGAAAAAGAATCTGCGAAGTGCTGAAAAAAGGAGGATATTTAAATAAAAACTTGCATGCATGATTCCTGCACGAGTTTACAACTAACTTAAAGTTAGTTTTGTCATAGCTAATTAAAAGTTAGTTATTTATCGAAATCCCGCAAAAACGCTAACTAGAAGCTGGTTATTTTAATTAATTGATAATGTTTTCTGCAGGGTATTTACCAGTTCTGCTGCTGTACCCAAACTTGTTCGGCTTAAGCTACTACCGCATACATTCGCGTTCAAGCTATGAGTTGAATTGGCTTGTTTGAAACATACTTGCGCTTGTATTTTTTTCAAGTAATTTGAAAACGTAAATGAATCGGCCTGTGCAGTACACTGATGTATACAGAGTGTGTACGTATGTATGTATATATATTCTACAATTTCACTTATTTCATTTATACGTTTCTAAGTGTGTATATACGCAGACACCTTGTACATATGTACATACATTCATACGTAGGTTTCGTTGTATGTAGCAGGTGCCTCATCCCAAATGGCCTAGACACAACAGCGCCTGCCTCTTCTCAAATTACTCCCAAAGCACAGCTTAACAATAAAGCCAACAAAAACAACTATTATGCCACACACACACACACACACACACACACACACGCACTCAACACACATTCGTAAACTTAAGCGCCTCGTTGAAATGCCTCAACCGCCCCTACCACTGTGCTGTATTAAACTCCACTATCAGAGGATTTTATGTTCTTGTTGTTGTATTCGTGGCCGCTGTCAGTGTGCGCTAAAGCATCCAATCCCGAACCATTCACAAATTCCGAGATTTCAGGATCTAAAATTGGTAATCCTGGGATATTTCGGGATATTATTACCATTAATTAAAATATGCAAACAAACTAGTTTTGTAGTCTTGCGTATAGCAAAGCAAAAAAATACAAATGTCTTTATTAACCGACTTCCACAAAAGGAGGAGGTTATCAGTTCGTCGGAATATATATATATTTTTTTGTTTGTTTTTATGTATGTTACCGCATAAATTTGGACCGCGTCAACCGATTTCGATAATTATTTTTGCATCGGAAATGTAGTGTCTCAGAGGTTGTCCCATACTGCTTTAGATCCGATCATTAGATCATGAAATATATATATATTTTTTTATATGAGAATTGAAGTAGGTTTTATTTTTCCCGAGGGCTCATGCCGGAATGTTGGGACTCAAAAAAGGGCACGGGATCTCGAATCCCGGTACTAGATGTTTTAGTGTGCGCCTATAGGCACTTGAGCGTGCATCGTGGTACAAATGTGAAACTTTCTACTTTCTCGTTTATGCGAGAATATTTTTAAGCGCCACTATGCAAAGACATACACACATACTCTTACACAAATATACACGCATATGTATGTAAGTAGATATGTATTTCGCATAAGCTGCTATATGCGTGTAATCACCCTGCAGGACGAAATTTCAATTGATAAAAAATAACCCACTTGTAGCTAGCGTTTTTACAAGATTTCTATAAAGTATATAACTTGTAGTTAGTTACATAAAGCTAACTTGAAACTAGTTGACAAGTAATGCAGGAGTAATGCAGACGCAATCGGGAGATTGTTTTCTTTAAACGTGTTTCTATTTAAATATCCTACACTTCACGAATAACTTTTCGAATTAAGGACAAATAAAAGGAAGATCGAAATTTCATATTATCACTTTCACGAGATGTCTGACGGAGTTCGAATATCGCACCACCTACTGCAGAATATGTAAACATATATGAAATGTAATAAAATAATGCTAATAAATAAATAAATAAAA